AAAAGCTGTCCACAGCATTCTGAATGACTTCAGCTGGTAAATTATGCATCTCCGCCCTAATCTTATTCTTTAAATTCTCAATATTATCCGGTCTGTCCTGGTAGACTCTTTCTTTCAAATATCCCCAAAGAAAATAATCCAAAGGTGTTAAGTCGGGGGATCTTGGCGGTCATTCAACTGTACCCCGTCTACCAATCCAGCGATTTGGAAACATTTCATCTATCTTACCAAAATGTGGGGGAGTGCCATCTTGTTGGAACCAAATACTTTCACTCGGTATATCTGGATCAATTTCATGAGGGAAAATCACAGCTAGAGCAGGTATCAGGTCAAATGTTAGGAAATCCAGGTAGCGTGCGGCAGTAAGATTTTCTAAAAAAAAGAATGGGCCTAAGATTCTGTTGTTGATGCCCATTCATTAACTTTCTGTGGATGCTGCGTATGCGATTCGCATGTCCAGTGTGGATTTTCCTGGGACCAAAAGCGATAGTTGTGCCTGTTAACCACTCCATTTAAATAAAACGTATAGCTTCATCCGAAAAAAGTACGTCTCGTTGAAAACCATTATTGTCGTCACACCGTCTCATCTCATTTCTTCACAAAATTGTAATCGCCTATCATAATCGTCTTCCAAAAGCTCTTGGACAAGACATACCTTATAGGGGTGGTATTTCTCTTGTTTCAGAAACATTCGAATTGCAGTTCGAGAAGCACCGTGATTGCGGGCCAATGAAACAGTTGAAGTCTGAGGATTTTTAACAAGTTCTAATGCAATGTCTAATTTCCTTTCTTCATTCAAAGCACGTGCCCGTCCAGTTTTGGGCAAAATCTGTACTGTACCGTGTTCCTCAAATTTGTGAAATATTTTACTAACTGTCCCTTGCGAGATTTGGTTTTCGGGATATTTCGCTTTAAATAAATCGCGCACTTCAGCCTGACTTCTTATTTTGTCTCCACATCCCAGCAATATCAAGACTTCGATGCGTTGCCTTTCCGACAATACCATTGCAATTCAGTAAATAACTTGATTTTGACACAATAGTAACGTTTCAAAATCCAATTTACAACTAAAGCGAAAAATTAACCAGAAAGCCTGGCAAGTAAGTGGTACCAAAAAAACGCAATATAAAAAATATATCTTTTTTGCGTTAGCAGTGATAGGTACAGTTCCAAATTCTTTATTTTATTCTGTGCGAATTCATGGAGGATAACACTGAAGATAATTAAATTTTATTTCACTTGTTAAGTAGGTGTTTTATACAACCCTAAAAACCTTGCTATTGAAAAAATGAAACTTGTTTATTTGGTATGGCTGGATTCAGTTTTCTATAAGCTTTTCAACGAGCCTCCTCATGCCTTATGTTTCCATTTGAAAAAAAAGTAGGGGTAGCTGGGGGTTAGGGGGCTTTTAAAAAAAAATAACTCATTCAATAGATATGAATTTTATTCCGTACTTCTGGCCATCCTTGTAGACATAGAGAAGAGCAATACTGCGAAATTTAACTAGCCTTGATCCAATACCATTGGTTTGTTAAATATATTTAATACCATACGTATTTAAGGCAAGGTCTTTGAATTATGTTCAATAAGTTATTTTTTTACGATTTTACGAGGCAGACATAGAACATAGTATGGATAACGTGTACCTATTTATTTTTAGTAATTGCTAGTACAATATGAAACAGCAATTTGAAGAAATCTATTTTTTTAACGGATAGCGTACCTATCAATAATTTTGGAGAATTATTGAAATTTGGCAAAGTTTGAATACGTATTTTTTATTTTTATTTGAAAAATACCAAAAAGTTCATTAAACTTAGGTTCAACGACATAGCTGCTATATAAATATTTGATACGACTTTAAAGCAAGATATGCGATTTTTCAAATTAAATATTTTTTGAACTGACTGTACAATCAGACCGGCCATGATCATTGAGTGTAAAAAACAGAAGAACGGTGCCAACATCTTTCAAAATGATTTAGTTATCATAATAAATAAAATATTCCCACCTAAATGTAAGTAGATATAAAATACGAGGATATTCTACAAAATCTGGTACTAAATAAATCATCTAAAGTGAGTTGTTATTTTTTCATACAAATAGCCTAATCTAGATTTCAATAAATCGTTTCATATTTTTTTCAATTTTATTTCAACGTAAGTTGATATACTTTTTTACTAGAGCCTCGAAAAGATTAATTTATTATTCTCAGGATTATCCGATACCAGTTAGTTCAAATAATTAGGCAAGATTTAAAGGACTGATTATTTATTGTTTACACTGACTACAGAAGTTTCGAAATCAAACCTTGCAAACTAGTTAGATGAATCAAAGCAATTAAAATATACAGTAATTTTCATAGTACCAACGGTATTTATCAATGATACACTATGGTTCACATTTGCACTGAAATACAACTACTAAAAAAAGTAGAACCTTGACAATCCACCTTAAGGCCCTTATTTGTTACCGTGCGACCGCTCACAATCAGAAGTTCACGCCTTCTTTGATGGCAATTCCTACCTGTTTATTAACCTTTATATCATTATTAACACAAAACATAAACAGTAATAAAATGCTTCACAGCTGGCGATTAGAACTCGCTTTGTTTTCCTTATCGAAGTGTTTAAAAAGTTACAAGGTGCTCTGTGACAAAACCGTAAATAATGATAACGGAATCAGTTCCAAAAGGAAGCCTCATATTTGACAAAAATGATTTGTGTTTGTGTTCTGTTATCCTTTAAACTAGCATCACGGAAATAGAGGGGTTTAACATTCGTTAACAGATTTAATTCAGCTCTTCACTTCACTTCACTATTTTCAAATAATTTAAAATCTTTTTTTTATTTCGATCAAATAAAGTTAAACACGGTAATGTCACATTCTTGGGGTAAATGACGAAAATTACTTCTATCTATGATGAAAACACAACTACCTAGTTTTGGTACAAATGTTCACTAGTAGGTGGCGCAATCGTTACAATTTCTTTCTCTAGTTCCTTGGCTCTTTAAATTATAACAGTAATTCGTTCATTTAATAATTACAGAATGTTTTCTTACTCGAATTAAAAATCATTTCCTGACTTCGATATGATTCTGAAAAAATACGCCTGGAGGACACCCCCAACTAACGAGCGGGAACAATTCCGCCTCGATCGTTTCATGGCCGGAATTAATGACTACAGAGGATTTTCTTGGGATATGCCATGAGTTAACACCCCATTATTTACGCAGGGCATTAACATCTTGTTAGGGCCCGCGCGAGACTACATGCAGTTGCCCGATCGACATCCATCATTTTGGTTTTCCTTACCCCTTAATGCAGAGTTTTCCGCTTGACAAAACGACCGATGTTGGCTCTACAGCTCTCTGTACACCAATCGTTATTGTTCTAGCTTGGGGAAGAGCCATGTAAATGCCAAGATTATTGTAAAATGTACAAAAAAGCTTTTGCTCTTTATTTTCTAGTTCTAGTTTATTGTAAAATGTACAAAAAAAGCTTCTGCTCTTTATTTTCTAGATTTTATCTAATGGACATATTAGGTGGACTGTAATTTTACAACAAATCTAGTAATTTAATTTCTATAAACACCTATAAAAAGCTACCGGAAATAAAATAAATATTCTTTAATACTAAGCAGCTGTGATGTTATTTTTATTTTTATATTGCATCGTATAAGGTGGTTGGACGAAACGAGAAGCTCTTTTAAAAATCCATCAGTCCGATAATGATTTCCGAGAATCGAAACTATTAAAATTAATCTCAGGCGACTACCAGAAACGCCAACTAATTATCTTCATACTTCAGAAACCATTGCGAATCGATTATATTCGTGTATGAGCTAATTCTGAAACAGTGTCACGGAAATAACAATAATTTTTTTAACGTCTTTAATAATATTTTATGTTAATCTCTAAGTGCAGAGATACTGTTATATAATGTCTATTAGGCGGTTTACGACATATTTAAACAGCTTCTTAATGGTTTAATTAATTAAAAATCGTTAATTTCCTATTGGTAATTTTCTCCGGAGCCCGTCAGTGCAATAATTGTGTAATGACACAAATCCAGATCGTCTGATGATCAGATATTACCTTATTTAGTAAATTAACATGCAACAATTTTAGTTGTTTCAATACACTTATAAGTTGAAAATGACAAACTTCCTTTTACCTTGAAAATTGTGGCAATCGGTTTGGTTTAGTTAGATTATAAATTTCATCTGCATGTAATTATTATAAATCGTGTATCATAATTATCGCCATTATCGGTAATATCTGTTCAACTGGAAGGAAGCAGGGGAATCGCCGGAATATTCACCATTAAAAATAAATATAGTTATCAATATGTGTGCGGTTTCTTATCCCTCCGGAAGTGTATATCCGTCATCACGTAATTTTAGCATATAATAAAATATTTGGAATCGCAAATGGTGAAATAATTTTTTAATTTTGCATCATCCTGTGCCTTTTTGCACGCGCCGCTGTCAGAGTTAAAGCACCGAATCAAACAGGCCTTGGTGCGCCAGGCTAGAATATAAATAAAGCCAACGTCAGAAATATTGATTAGCTCAAGAAATATCAGTGAAATTTAAAATGATGCTACAGACTATTTATTACACGATGGTGCTCCTTCGACGAGTAACCCCTATTAAATTAAGCTAATAATTAGATTAACATATAGGTGCACCAGGTAATATGTATCTGTCAAAATTACTTAATACTTTTTTATTTACCTTATAACAGGAAAATGGAAATCTATCTGTAATGGCATCTGGATATCCAGCCAATATTTTTGATATGGACCCAGAGGTACTAGCAGTACATTTATATTGTTAAAGCTAATAAAGTTTTTATTGATGATATATTTTTAACCCCTTTAATGGCTCACATCAAAACAGATGATACTTCAAACGTCCATATCTCTTTTACTAGCCGGATTTGGATTGCGCAACAAACACACAACAAAGTTAAAAATACGTAAAAAGGGTACGTTACCTTATTTAATTATCCAATTGTTACATATCTATAAAAACAAACACTAAATACTCGGATTTGCAAAACTCACACGCCCAGCTTAGTTAGATCGCAACTGATCGCGAAGGTGGCGACCTCTCGAAGAAACACGCCGCACCGCGCGACAGTGGCGTGTAATATTTATCTCTGCGATTAATTCCTTTTAATAATTAAAATAAAATTTCATTATCTTAACAACGGTCCGCTGGGACTAATTAATAATATAACAACTGTATGTTAGTAATTAGATTTGCTTAGTTATTCACCGACTCTTGAAATTTACATGGAGTTGTACGTAGGTAGAGCTTTCTGTGTATAATGAAGCGATTTCACAGAATTGATTTGTATCTATAACCGTATTAGGCGTGACTGCTAGCCTTATTTATTTATCAATGAATTTATTAAAGGGAATGTATTTGTATATGAAAGTGTGTTGTTAATTATTCCTAGAAATAAATAATGAAATTGCAAAAAGAAGTGGTTTATTTTTAAATATTGCTCTTTTATAGGTAACATTTTATTTATCATTGATAAGAATGTTAAGTGTACATGATTCGAATTCTTCAAAATTGAGGTGTCCTATATGTCTGTTCCTACGCAACTTTCGATTATTATGGGTTTGGTAATATTTTACACCTACCAGTTATGCATTTATTTATATTTCTTCAATCCGTAGATATTAAGAAAATTAAAGAAATTAGGTAGGTATTATGAAAGGTTAACTTGTATCTGTTGGTTTAGATTTTAGATAAATAAATTTTATTGAGAGAGATATTATGTATTAACACTTTTACCTAATCTATTTTAGCAGTGTTAATTAGGGACATGTAATTAAGTTAGAAAACACAGTGGTAACTCGACAGGGAATATCACCCGTTGTGTTCCTATTCTATTAAGTACTTAGCACAGGGCAGAAATTTGTTGTAAATCTTATCAATGTTTTTCTATATTCTAGTTGTCTGTTTACAAAAAATGTCTAATGTATATTTTTAACAATAGAAGTAAATATGGGTATTGTAATCTGAACTGTTTCTGTCGACACGGCAGAGTGTATGACGTCACATCACTGGTATTAAGTTGATTTGATAGGCTTAGCCATGTCGTATCCTTTTTACATTTTTAAATTTATTTCTATTAATTATTTGCACTTACTTGATAAATGCCTACTTCTTGTATTCCTGTGTATTTTATTTTTGAATTTTTTTCCCTCATTACATATCACGCAATTGCGACAGTACAGATAAAGATAAATATGAATAACGATGCCGCAAGTTGAGGGAGGCGACCCGGACTGCGAGGGATGTTTTTACATAAGGGTTTCTACTTAACGATATTGTTAGGGTCGGTTTATTGCATTAGCAATTCAACTCATAATAATTACGGAGCCGTTAGACTGGGACATCATTAGAAATAAGAGAAACCGCTATTCACTTGGGCGCTGAAGGGCTCTCTGCTGACACATTGTAGCCGATACTGCTTCCTGCCTTATTATTCGAGAGTGCCTGATTGTTTAATCGTTGAATAATATTTTCTTTGAATTTGGCGTGTGTGTTTTGTTTGTTTAATTCGCGACTGTATGAACCTTGCTTAACAAGTTATTTGTCCTTGAGAAGTAGTCTGAATTGATTTTTTTCATTAATTTGAACTGTTGGGTTATAAAGGGAAGTTTGGTGCGAAATTTCGTAGAATAGTATGTAGATTATTAATGGAGTAGAAAAGTGTTTAAAAACAAAAAGAAAACTACTCAAAAATTTGCTATATTCTGGTCAATTTTAATAAAATGAAGGTATTTGCAAATAATGGTACTTTCTGGTACGTTCTGGAATATTTATTACTTGAATAAGTATACATACAGGGTGAGGCTTATTAATGTGAGAAAGTAAAATAACTCCCTTGTTACTCAGTAATACATAAAAAAAGTTTATATAAACACGCCAAATATTACATTTTTTAAATGGTACACCCTGTATATTTTTAAACATATGGATTTCCGAGAAAATTCTATATTTGGCAATATAAACAGTTTACAATTTTAGTGCGGGGTTGCCAAGTTATGTAGAAAATTCTTCGAATTTTGGAAAAATATGACCCCGAAGAAGTTGTATTAACTTTCAGCTACTAACACTTGGAAAAACATAATTAGACCGAGTTATAGTCAAATGTTAGACAAAGGCTCCTATATTAGTTAATATCGATATTTTATACAGGGCATTTTTATAATACGATCATTTTTAGAAAGTTTAAACGATTTTCTAAAATTTTTCAAATGGAACACCCTGTATTTTATTGTTCTACTATATTCACATATCGGTCTATTTCAACTTTTATTAAGCATGTTCTATATCTAATATTGTTAGTTTTTAAAATGTAGCAACATTTCTGAAAAAACAATTTTTATTATTTTATAGAATAACACACCACAAATAAAGATTAACTAATAAAATGAACTCAAAATGGAATGATTTATGAACTGATAAGTTGACACAATTTGACAGTTTCTTCCAAAGCTATTTCGTGCGACCGAAAATAATAAAAATTAGGTTTTTTCAGAAGTGTTGCTATATCTTAAAAACTAAGAACTTTAGGTGTAGAACATACTTGATAAAAGTTGAAGTGGATTGATATGTGAAGAAAATTGAACAATAAAATTCAGGGTGTTCCATTTGAAAAATTTTAGAAAATCAACTTTCTTAAAATGATCGTATTATAAAAAATGCCATGTATAAAATATCGATATTAGCTAATATAGTAGTCTTTGCCTAACATTTGCCTATAACTCTGTCAAATATTTTTGCTCCAAGTGATAGTAGTTGAAAGTTAATACAACATCTTCAAGGTTTTTTTCCAAAATTCGAAGAATTTTCTACATAACATGTAAACCCCGCACTAAAATGTTAAACTGTTTATATTGCCATATATAGAATTTTCTTAGAAATCTATGTTTAAAAATATACAGTGTTACATTTAAAAAATGTAATATTTGGCGTGTCCCGTTTTTACTCATCGCCCTATGTGTTTCAAATTAATGTTGTCCTTTAGGTTTTTTGATTCTGTACAACTTTTATATAAACTTTTTTTCTGTATTATGAATAACAAGGGAGTTATTTTACTTTCTCACAGTAATGGCCCACCATGTATATTCTATTGTCGTATTACCAGTTTAAAAAATTTACCTCACTTTCCAAAATCCCGTCGTCGCGCTCAGAACCGCTCTAAGTAGCCACAAATCGATTCATCCATGTTAGCCAGTATTGATTGATTGACGAAGGACGTCAACCTAGATCCTTTAGGATAACGCGGCGCAGGAAATGGAGAAATTCACCTCATTTTCCAAAATCCCGTAGTCGAGTCAAAAAAAAATACTAAGCGGCCAAAAAACGCCCTGACGCAGCAGCCCACATCTCTAATTTTGGAAAATTAAAAATTCGCTGAATTCAACGAAGTTCGGACCTACTGCACTGCAAATACACAAATAACTATAACGAAATAGAGGCCACCCAGAAGGATGTCACATTTCTGAGACGCTGAAATGATTAAATGCGAAAACTAATGAAGATCCAAGAGCCGCACTAAATCGGAACATGCTAGAGAGAAACCAGCGAAGACGCTTCCGCCACCGATCGAACGTCTACCCTGGGAATCGGCAGTTCAGTAACCAGGGATGTGTGCCTGGCCAGTGCATGCAGCACAACCAAAATTTTTACAACTATTCTAAATGCAATCTGTTGTCAAACATATTATATTAGAATTGTCCTAATCTTTTAGTTTTCGATACCTCGAACTCTCTATTGAACCAATCACAGTCTTGCTGTTTCACGACATGGCGCCCAACGTGGGGCCATGTCACCTAATGAGCCAATGTCAATCTTTCCGTTCCGCGACATCTTATCTTATTGAAGACAAAAATTTGCATAATAGAGATGCGTAAATTGAGTTTAAAATAATTATATAAAGTCTCTGGGACTTTCCTTATGTCATATTTTATTAAGGCGCCATTTTTTCAAAATAGAGTCGCAGAAGTTAAAGAAAAAGTTTTTATATCTTTGTTTTAAGGCAGTATTTTTTAAATCAAGCTTACATTTCTTTATCATTTTTTACAAAATTTTTTCTTGTCGGTGCAAGAACCTAAATACAATGTCAAGACTTTTATCCAAACTTCATCTTTACTGAACTTATTTCATCCCTTATACTAAGAGTTCCCACTTCCCAATTGCATCGTAAATTTCATCAGACCCCCCTCAGAAGTAACAAAAATAACCGTACCCTCTGTCCTTTCATAGAAATGATTTAATCTAGTTCAGTTACGACATTTATTCCAAACTGCCGTCTTACCCCAAATCATTCATATCCATAAAGTCCAGAATAGATATACGGCAGCGGCGAGCAGAACTAAAGAGAATGCTCACCCACCCAGATTGATAGATTTGCGTGAACTGATACCGAGCCCAACTGACACTACATTTTATTGTGTTGCCCTTAAAAGCTTCTGATAAAGCGCGAGCAATTTTAGATATTGGATTGTGGCATGTCCTAAGACAAATTCCGTCGATGATAAATAAGATAGGGGACTAATAAATCTAGTAGACAGTTGCGCCCAAATATTATTTATGTAGTTGGTGTGGTGGAGCTCTTAGAGAGGGATCGGGAATAGATACACGAGTAGATGTAATAAATCAATAAGTATCTACTTCTTATTTTTCTATGTGTTCGTTCGAAAGAGAGGAGTTATATTTATGGTCTACATACATATTTTATTATTTATATATATATTTTCAATGGTTATTCTATCCAATGATTAAAATACTTAACTAAAAAGAAGCGTGACTATAACTAAATTGATTATAACATTCTCAAAGCCATCTGGTGGCGAATACTAGAATTATAGGAAACGAATCATTAGGTTATCAAGCGGTTTTGGGGGAAATGAGTCAATAAAATACTGTTTGCATTTTTTTTATTATTTTTGCCACATCCCCACAAATTAGAACTAAGAAAATTTTAGATTAGAACCCAAATTGTTTATAAAATGTTGTTCTAGAAAGTGTTTTTGATAGGACAATATAATTTCACTCTAAAAAATAATTTCTAAATTGTTTGTAAAATAAATGCAATATGTTGTACATACATCCTTATATTCAAATTGTGGGAATAAAGAAATTTTATTTGTGAGACTCAAGGGCGTCGCAATGGCAATGAACTAGCGGGGGGGGGGG